GCAGCGAGGCCAAAAAATATTTTTAAGTAAATAAATAGAAATAAAACTTGAATACTTAAAAAATTTAAATTATAATGGAAATCAAGAGGGAGAGCAGAATCTATTTTCTAGAACTTATTAAATCGAATCAATCACAAGTTAGTAAAATGAGGTGCAGGGGATTCTTTTGAGCAGCGATATTGTATAGACAGAACCCACTCTTATTGACCAGCTGTTTTAGCCCCTGATGTTTTTCCCTCTGACTGTGTCCCCCCCTCCCTATTTCCCAGCCATCCAAGCCCCCACCTCTGGTGTAATTCTGGACTCTGATCTCTCTCTCTGACCCCAACCCAATTTTGAAACCCAGTCTAATGTCTAAAATACACTTCTTGGACCTATCCCTTCCTTTCCGTGCCCTCTTCCTACTCTCCGGTTCCGGCCTTTTTGCTATTGCCTGGACCAGTGTGGTCACCTCCCTGCCAACAGTCCTTTCTTACCTGTCCAATTGGCCCTGCCAATCACTGCCCAAGTGACCTTAGAGAGCCTCTTTTATGCTTCCCTGCTCATGCCTGTGAACAAAGTCCACACTGGCCACCTTGCCCACCTCCAGACTCATCTAAGTGAAAAGCAGCCACGTCACATGTGTCATCCCATCCGTTGTGCAGATGGGCAGGGAAGGGACCAGGGCAGCCACAGCAAAAGCAGCCCCTCTGAGCTGGACATAAGCCAGGGGGGTGGGAATCACCTTGGAAAATAGAGTGGAAGCCCAAAGGGAAAGTTGTTCACTCTGCACAAACACTGCTTCGACTTTCACTGATGCCGAGTTTGCCTGTTAAGTACCATCTCAATACCTTTGAGGTCACTTGGAGTTCATGCTTATTATCAAACCTGTGCTGATTCTGGCTGCCACCTGGTGCATTTTGCCATCCTCACTTTGTGCAAAGGAATGAGCTGACAGATGGGGACAGTGCTTGGGCAGTGGGGAAGCTCAGCAGGAGGGCTGGGGCAGCAGCTCTGAGTAATCAGAAGACTACGTTCATTAGTGAGCCCATCTTTTCAGGCATAACTAGAGTATGGGCTTTAGGACTTAGTGATGAGCAGAGGGTGGTGAGCTACTGCGTGTGTGGGTCCCTAGCTCCTCACACCTCCCAGGCTCCGTGGGAAGAGCTGCTTTCTCCAAAATCCATGATGCTTTTTAAGTTTGTCTTTTTTTTTTAATGTGGACCATTTAAAAATTTTTATTTTTAATTGGAATGTAATTGTTTTATAATATTGTATTTGTTTCTGCTGTACAGCATGAATCAACTTTAAGTATACATATTGATGTGGACCATTTTTAAAGTCTTTATTGAATTTGTTACAATATTGCTTCTTGTCTTATGTTTTGGTTTGGGGGCTTCAAGACATGTAGGACCTTATTTCCCTGACCAGGGATTGAACACATATGCCCTGCATTGGAAGGTGAAGTTTTAACCACTAAACTACCGGGGAAGTCCCCAAAACCCATGATTTTAAGATATGAGCAACCATCTCTTATGTCTCCTGTTTACTGGCAGGCGGGTTTTTTACCACTAGCGCCACCTGGAGTATTCACTAAAACCAGCTGCAGGCTGAACAGGGTGACCTGATTTGGTTGGCCTGGCTCACCTGGGCGGGGGGAAGCGTCTCCAGCCAGTTTGGGAGGCCTCGTGCTTCTGGGCTGTCGTCATTGTTCCCAGGTGGGGCTCCTGGCGAGTCAGCAGACGAGGTGACTCATGGATCAGTCTCAGGGACTGGCAGTTGGGCAGTGACCAGGCAGGTCCTGAGACAGGCTTCATTAGGAGGTGGTAAGGGAGGTGTTGCTTCCTAGGGTTGTGTGGGGAGCAGTCGTTGATTCCTTGGGTAATGAAACTTGTTCCTCTTAGCACAGGGGTTCTGATGTTTGGGGGCTTTTTAAGGAAAACAGACCATCAGCATACCTCAGGGTAGAGAATATCACCACAAAATCCTAAGCCTTGAAGGATGAATGAGGACTTGGATCTTCCCAGGATAACATCCTGCTCACCCTTGGGGAGATATCAGAGGCTTGGAGAAGTTCAGCCTCAGGAGCCTCCCCCAAGAGCTCCTTGAGGGTCAGGGACCTCAGTCAGAATGAAAAGGGACCCCTTCTCTCTAGGCAGTGGCTGCCAAAGTGGGGCCAGGCCTCCCACCCTCTGCCTCACCCAGAAGAGGTCTCACTGTCCTCATTCTTAGAACCCTCTTAAGCCATCCCAGCTTCTTATCCTACATAGTGGAGGGAGGAGGGAGCTCAGACACCCACATCAGCGTGTCCTGCCTAGAAGGGAGAGGTATGAAGCTGGACGTGAATATGCCAGCGGCCAACTGGTATAAGCGCAGAGTCAAGCCTGGCTGTCCCCTCCACCCACCTCAGTTGAGTGTTACGTGGAAGGACGGCTCCAGGTGGACCCTCCCACCCTGTAGCCCAACATTGTGCAATAGTTGTCAGAGGTGAGAACATTCTGCAACTCATAATACATTTAGACAGTACATGACATCAAGTCCGCCCTCCACACCTTGATGCGGCTGACTTTACTCACTGATCACAGAAGCCAGAGCTAGTATAGTGGAGGCAGGAAGGAGACGGGCCCTGCCCTCACCAGCGTGTGTTACCAGCTCGCCCATGGCCACTGAAAAACAGCCGTGGAATTAGATCAGAAATGTGAGAGGGTAACTATTAACAAGTTATAACAGAAAAGTAGAGATTTAAAGTAAAGAATGCAGGGGTATCCCTGTCGATCCAGTGGTTAAGACTGTGCTTCTGCTGTCTACACTTCTACTGCAGGTGGCGTGGATTCAATCCCTAGTCAAGGAACTAATATCCCACCAGCTGTTTGGCACAGTCAAAAAATAAAAAATAGAGAATGTAAAAAAAGTTAGAAGGTAAGAACAAATGAAAACAAAGAAAGGGAAATGGCAGCCCAAACTTTAAAAATAAAAATTAAAGATTATAGATTTATGTTAAAATTATGAAAAATTAAAAAAATATGAAAAATGATAAAAGTTACAATTATAAAAAGGAAAGTTTTTTTTAAGTCACCTAAAAGTTTAGAAAAATGGAAGATAACAGGGAAATACATTTTAAATGGATTACAAAAGGTTAACGACCCTCTGAGGAACTTTTACCATCTTTCTATAAGTTGAAAATTATCTCAAAAAATTAACATAAAAAGTGAAACACTAACATGAATCTGGAGTGAAAATTCAAAGTAAAAAAATGAAACAATGTAAGGATTTAAATAAATATATGTACAATAAATCAATACAATAAATAAATATATAAAATGAATAAATAATACAATAAGTAAATGTCTATTTAGATATGTTTTATTGCATGTATTTTAATACATATATGTATTACATGTCTTTATATGTATGTATGTAATAAATAAATATACGTAATAAATCAAATAAACATGTAAAATAAATCAAAACACAGCTGAGATTTTAAGACTTTTTAAAATCTTTAATTTTAAAGGATTAAAATTATAAATTTTAAAGGCAGGAAGTAAAAGCAACTAGAACAGGGGAGTTTCAAATATGATAAATATAAAGTAGAAAATAAATAATATGAGATAATTAGATAATTTAAAAGGAAGATATCAAAGTAAAAGAAGACTCAAGTTACAGAGATAAAAATGTAAAACCTGGAATAATCCACCAGAGTAGCATGAATGAACCAAAGCAAAAGGGCATACTCAAAAATTCAGAAATTCAAGTTTATGAGTTATTTTAAGATAAAGAATAAAATATTCTTAGTAAAGATGAGGGCAGGGAATTCCCTGGCAGTCCAGTGGGACTCTGAGCTCTCATTGCTGGGGGCCGGGGTTCAATCCCTGGTCTAGATACTAAGATCCTGTAAGCAATGGGGCACAGAAAAAAAAGCCAATGAGGACAGAGTATGATTAGATGATTGTTTCTGATCCAAGAACATGGTTTGTCTCTCCGTTAGGGTCATCTTTGATTTGTTTCATTGGTGTCATATGGTTTTCTGCACACAGGTCTCTTGCCTCCTAAGTTTATTTGTGGGTGTTTTACTCTCTTTGTTGCAATGGTAAAAGGGATTGCTTCCTTAATTTCTCTTTCTGACCTTTCATTGTTAGTATATAGGAATGCAAGACTAAGAAGAACAGAACAGGGAACTCGGCTTAATGCGCTGTGGTGTCCTGAGTGGGAAGGAAGACCGAAAGGGCGGGGATGAGTGTATACGCATAACTGACTCACCTTGCTGCATAGTAGGAACTAACACAGCATCATCAGTCAACTGTACTCCAATAAAAATTAATGTTAAGAAATTGTTTCTGGTGGGCTCTGTTGAGCTGAAGCTGAGTCTAGGCTAGGGCTTTTGGGGGAGGATGTGCATTGCTGCTCATTAGCCCCAAATTCACACCTCCCACTGTGCCGGGTTAGGAACTTAGCCCAGCCCTCGGAATGCACACATAAGAGTTCTAAAGGGATCCAATGAGGTGAGTGGAAGCCCCACTCTGACCCCTAGTGGGGCCACCTGGCTCAGAGCTGGGGCATCAGAACACCTGGGTATGATTGAGCAATCACGTTGCTTCTCTGCACCTCCTTTTCCTTACTGGCACTGCCCAACCAATGCCTTCCCTCTCTGTAAAAAACAAAAACAGGAAACCATCAAAGTACTGGTCAGCAGCATTTGCTCTATCATGACGTAGAAAGAGCATTGGGCATAGAAACAAATCAGGCCCCTTGAACCTGCCCGCCTGGTGGTTTTGGATATGAACTGATGTGATGTTGGTCAGTGAAAAGTGCACACATGCATGTTGATAATGCTTGGGCAGAGATACCCCTCCAGATGAAGCTGGGTACTCTACTTGTTGGAGAAGGGAAAGCAGAGGCAGAAATCTGCCTTCCATGAAGTGGGGAGGGGCACCTCTGTCTCCCTGTCCCCGCCTCCCCTCGCCCCAGCACTTAGCCTGAGCACAGCCCATCTTTTTTCCCCAGGTGGGCCTTGAACCAGGATGGCTGAGCCCCGCCAGGAGTTCGACGTGATGGAAGATCATGCCCAGGGAGACTACGCCCTGCAAGACCATGAGGGCGACATGGACCCTGGCCTGAAAGGTTAGTGCACAGCTCTGCCTAGAGGGCCAGGCGCCCTGGAGGTCACAGGCAACCATACTGCTTTGGGAAGAGCTGGCAGGAAGTGTTTGCATCCTGATTTTTAAAGGAGTTTTAAATACTTTATTATTTTAGATTATCCATAGATTTGAAACCTCATTCATTTGAATGAACCAACAGAACTCAAAATGTGAGGCTATTTGAAAATCTGCCTTTGCAAAGGAGAGTTTGCCACAATGCATGGATGTATTGTGACAAAGACTGCAGGGGGCTTGTCAGTCTAATTAATACAAGGGCAATATGTTGAGTCTTTAGCCACACCTATGAACCTATAAATCAGCAGAATTCATTAGCATGCAAAATACATAACTTTAGGGCCTTCCCTGGTGGTCCAGTGGCTAAGACTCCTTGCCCCCAGTGCAGAGGGCCTGAGTTTGATCCCTGGTCAGGGAACTAGATCCCACGTGCACAACTAAGACCTGGCACAGCCAAATAAATAAATAAAAATAAATAAATACATATTTTTAAATGCATGACTTTATACATTTTTTTTTCCTCTTCCTTAATAGGCCTGTAAGGTCCCTATTTGGCCAGAGTTGATTAGCTCTGGGTTTCCTATTGTTGTACCTATAGTACTAAACCACATCAACTTCTAAATGCTCTATAATACAGTCTTTTGGCTAAAGTGGCTTGGCCTCTTCTCTGCCTCTCATGCCCACCTAGTCTGGGGAGCCCCGTGGGGCACACAGAGCCCTCTTTCTGGCTCTGACTGCCAATCCCCATGTTGGTGCGAGGAGCAGCAGGCTGGCCCCTGGAGCAGCGGTTGTGCTGCAAGGAACCCTTCTCCCACAGTGTCCCTGGGGGCCAGTGCTCCCTGGAGCAGCCCTCAGAGCAGGATAAGAAACACTAGGTCGCTGTCCTCCAAACCCATTTCTAAGGAGACAAAATGACAGTCTACTTTTCTCTTTAAATGCTGCAAGTAATAAAAACACTTTGCAGCCTGGGGTGTGGGGTGGCGGATGGACGTGGTGGAGTTCCAAGGTGGGAGGGAACCTCTTCCTGGTACATCCATGGGAGAAGTGTCCTTGGAAGAGGCAGGGTCACCAGGAGGAGCCCTGGTTTGGGGAAGCATGCAGAGCTATCATTCCCACATTGGAGATGTTTCAGGACTCACTGGGGACCCTTGTTTCAAAGGCTGACTTCTCTGTACCTGTTTAAGCAGAGAACACACTGGAGGCAGAGCTTGGGAATCAGACAAATGGGCTCCAAGTTGGGGGAGGTGAGGGAAGGCATGGACTGTCCTGGGAGCTCAGAGTCTGCCCTCTGACCTTCTTGGGAGCCCCCAGCCTGAAGCTCTGGGTGAGGGGCATGGAGGGGAACATGCCTGCTCCACCTAGAAGTCCCAATCGGCCCAAATCTCCCTTCCCAGTGTCAGGAAGTAATTCTTGCCACCATTTGCTTCCTGCTTCATTAGCAGTATTGCTGCTTTCACTTTCGAGTGTCCTGATTTGGGTGGTAAAGAATATAACTACTCAGGTGGGAGGGGGGATTGGGATGGGGAATACATGTAAATCCATAGCTGATTCATGTCAATGTATGACAAAAACCACTACAATATTGTAAAGTAATTAGCCTCCAACTAATAAAAATAAATGAAAAAAAAGAAAAAGAATATAACTACTCTACTTCTGGGGCTTCCTGGGTGGCTTGAGTGGTAAAGAATCTGCCTGCCAGTGCAGGAGACATGGGTTCGATACCTGGGTCAGGAAGATCCTCTGGAGGAGGAAATGGCAACCCACTCCAATATTCTTGCCTGGAGACTCTCACGGACAGGAGAGCCTGGCGGGCTGCAGTCCATGGAGTCGCAAAGAATCGGACAGGACTGAGCCCAAGCACAAGTACCCTGCTTATAATGGGACTTGCTTAAAAGGACGGTTCAGACATTTCTGTAGAACTCTAAAAAGCTGGCAAAGGGCTTCGGCCAACAACGTCTCACGCGCTGTTCACAGTAACCGGTGAGGACGGAGGTTACCTTCCCTAGTTAACAGATGACAATTTCCTTTCTGAGGTCACGGGGTAGTACAGCCTTCCACTCCACATCAGCTGTTTCTGCCTCTGGTCACTCTCAGCCAAGTCCGCCTGGGACTTCAGTTACTGAAGTCTTCATGTGTGCGAAGTCACCTTCAGTCGTGTCCAGTTCTTTTCGATCCCGTGGACTGTAGTCCACCAGGTTCCTCTATCCATGGAATTCTCCAGGCAAGCATACTAGAGTGGGCTACTATTTCCTTCTCCAGGGTATCTTCCTGACCCAAGGACTGAACTTGCATCTCTTAAGTCTCCTGCATCGGCAGGCGGGTTCTTTACTGCTAGCGTGGGAGAGCATCCAACTTAGGATCCTAACATATTGAATTCTGCCCCAGGTGAATTAATTGTGCCAGTGAAAAAATGATGCTCTGTAAAAATAAATGAAAAAAATAAAAAATTAAAAAAAAAATGATGCTCTGTTTAGGGTAACCTGGTTTAAAAATTAAGTTAAAAAATATATATCATGTTGAAATAAATATACCATAATAATGTAGGATGTTAATAACTAGGGAAACTGGCAATGGGATATCCTCTGGTCTATCTTTGCAATTTTTCTGTAAATCTAATAATTCAATTTATAAAGTAAGAACAAGTTTACCAAGTTATTTTGTGCCTTAGAGGTGCTTAAGTACGGTTGCTGAAATTCCTCAGTTCTTTTAACATAAAATGTCATTGGAAGTTCTATGATAAAACAGGTATATGTGTAAATATATAATATATATATGCAGATTTTAAGTTGCTAACTTTTTTGTCACTGTTGTGAAAGTGTTTGAAGATAGTTTAAACAAGCTTACCCAAACAATATACTTGCCAAGAAAGCAAGTGATACCTAAGAGATTTTCAGAGTTCTCCTCAAATTTGTTCTTGCTACTAAGGATTTAGAATGAATTATTTTTATATGGAGAGTGAAAGGTGCGACTTGACAGAAGGTGTCACTTTATAAGCAACATTTCAGATAGGTGACAGAGACTTTTTTGAATAATGACAAGAAACCACATGTAAAATACTAGAACAGAGAGCATCTGAGTAGATGCTAAAAGCTGGAATAGGATTAGATGGAGCCAAAGAGGGCTGCAAAGTGGGTGAAAGTTGGTTAACTCATAAAACAGTGTACCTGCATGAATTAAAAGGTGTTAATGAGTTAACTTGTTAGACCTTCCAACTAAGACAGTCAGAAGAGGCTTCTTCCATCTTTCCTCCCTCCATCCAAAAAATTTAACATGGATAATGCGGATGATCACAGTGGCAGGCTGGGGATGGACTGGGGGAGGGGTGTTTGGGGGGCAAGGGCTTGAGGCACCATCACACCCATAGGCTCCTGTGCTTTGGCAGTCAAGGCTGGTGGGTAATAAGACCCAGCAGACAAAACCAAAACCTCCATGAGATACCACTTCATATTTACTAAGATGGCTATAATTTTAAAAATGGGAATAACAAGTGTTGGTGAGGATGTGGAGAAATTGGACCTCTTGTATATTGCAGGTAGGAGTATAAAATGATGCAGCAGGTGTGGCAGACAGTTTGGTGGTTTTCTAAAAAATTGCACATAGAACTACCACACAATCCAGCAATTTCACTCCTAAGGATATATCCAAAAGGATTGAAACGAGGAACTGGAACAGATATTTGTACACCAATGTTCATAGCAGCATTATTCAAAATAGCCAAAAGGCTGGAACAATCCAAGTGTCCATCAATGGTTGAATGGATAAACAAAAGATGGTATATACATCAACCAGGAAAAGAAATGACACTGTGATAGATGCTACATGGATGGACCCTGAAAATATTATGCTTTGTGAAATAAGCCAGGTATAAAAGGACAAATGTTGTACAGTTTTATAGGGTATCTAGAAGAGGCAAATTCATAGAGACAGAAAGTAGATAGAGGCTTCCAGGGGTTGGGAGGGAGGGAGAGAGGGAGAGTTATTGCCTAATAGGTACAGAGTTTTGTTGGGGAAGATGAACAGGTGTTAGATATAGATAGCGGTGATGGTTACACAGCATGGTGAATGTACTTAATGCCACTGAATTGTGGTTAAAGTGATAGATGTGAAGTTGTGATTTTATACCAATAAAAGAATCTCAGCTAACACACACACAACAGTAAGACCCAGCAGACAGTCTGCGTGATGATTCTTCACCATGTCCAAAGCCTGCTTGAGGGAGTTGGCAGGTTTTCCCAAGCTTCAGGACTGGAAGCTTCTTTAGAATCAGTCCTTCTTTGGCTGGATCAGTGAAGCCAAAGGGTGGGTGTCGAGGGATGGCGTTCCAGCAGGGGGTTCGAGATGTCTGATCTCAAAGTGTACTAAAACACCACTTGCCTCTTTTTATCTCTGGGGTTTGCTTCGTGCAGAACCAGTTCCCTGTCCTCTACCTCCAAGGCTCCTCAACCCCCGCCCCTACTCCCCTGCCAGGTAGCGTGGCTTTTGCAGAGTCCATCAGAGGTCCCCTGGCTTTGGATTCTGATTGGGCAGTTTTCCCATAAATAGTAATGACTGACATTTCAGGTATAACTCAAGGTTTGTTGGGCAGGACTGGGAGACACAGCCCAATGTCCGGTTAAGAAGTAGGTCTTGTGTCTCCCCTGAGCTAATTTCTCTGCAGAGGAAGCAGTTCGATTTCTGAGTGTTTTCCCAGGTGTTTACTTGTCATGAATTCATGGCAATGATCTCCTGTGAGCCTCTCCAGTAAGGAAGGACAAAGCCCCAAGTTTACTTGTGGCTTAGCTCACTGGTGTCTGCTGCCCATTTGTCAATATCAGAGCCTTTGTCTCAGTTGGAACCACAAGCTAATTAAAAGGCAATTTCTCTTCTTGCCCCCAAACAGGTAAACATCACATGCCTCTTTCCTGATGACCCTGGTGTGGGGGCCCAGTTGTGGGATGGGAGTGGGGTTGGTCCCCTTTGTGGTTTTACCACGAGACCACAGTCCGTTTATCTGGGGTCCATACTGGGTGATTTCGGCTCCAAAAGGCACTGTTCCCCAGTTCCTCTGAGGTCGAAATTGGGGTGGAGCGAGGCAGCCATTCTGAGGGGTTCATTGTGTATGTTCCAGAGTCTCCCCTGCAGACCCCGGCCGATGATGGATCTGAGGAACCAGGCTCTGAAACCTCTGATGCTAAGAGTACTCCGACGGCGGAAGGTGGGGCCCCCCTCCTCTCACGGCTTCATTCAAACAGCTCATCCATGCTCCAACCTGCGCTTAGCCACGCTTTGAGCTCACACGTGCCAGCTCATATGTGCCACCCTTCCTGGCTGCACTTGCCGCTGCCTCTGGCTGAGAGATATGCCTGCTCAGTGCTTTGCGGATGGGGCTTGGGCCCCAAATGTTGTGGGAGCCATGCGCTGTCTTCATGCCTTGCTCGCTAGTGCCAGGGAGGGGCAGCTTCGTCATGCGTGAGCTTTGAGGCAGCCACACTTGAACAGGCTGGGATCTGTGGCAGAGCAGGGCCTGATCTCAGCTCCACAAAGCCCCTGCTCCTTGTCCATTGTCCTCTCTACACTTCTCCCATGAGCCACCAGGTCCCCGAGCAGTGGTTTGGTTCAGGAAAGGGCAGGTCAGAGCACATCTCCAAGCTCACCCTTTGGGACTGCTCTTGGTTTAGTATTCTTCATTTCCTGAGCTGAGCCTGGGCCTCTGGACTTTGGCCATGGTGTTAGCTCCAGCCAATCTTTTCTAACCTGTCCTCTGTAGACACTTGGTATCTAGGTTATTATTGTAAAGCTTCTGATGTATTTCCTGAGGTGTTCCTTGAACCATCTTCTCTTGCTTCCCATCCATATCAGTCAAGACTATGTTTGAGGAACTTCCCTGGTGATCCAGTTGTAAAAATTCTGCCTGCCAATGCAGGGGACATGGGTTCGATCCCTGGTCCGGAAAGATCCCATGCGGGACAACTAAGCCTGTGTGCCACAAGTACTGAAGCCCCCACGCTTCAGGGCCCATGAGCCGCAACAAGAGAAGCTACCATAATGAGAAGCCCGTGCACTGCAATTAGAGAGTAGCCCTGGCTCACAGCAACTAGAAAAAGCTCTCATGCATCAAGGAAGACCCAGCACAGCCAACAAAAGAAAGACTATGTTTGATCACAAGTAACAGAAAACCCAACTAACTGTGGCATATATATGAAGAGGTTTATTTGTCTCACATAATAAAACATCTGGACTCGAGTAGCAGCTCCTCAATGTCATCATTGCTCTTCTGTCTTTATCTTCTGCCATCTTTTATGGCTGGATTATGGCCTCACAGTTACAGAATGACTGCTGCACCTCCAGGCATGGCATCTACCTTCAAAGCAAGGAGAAAGTAGCAAAGCAAAGTGACCAAAAGAGCCCGGAAACCAAATATGTTCCCTTTTTATTAGGAAAGCAAGAGTTTTTCTACATGCCCCACCTGCCAACTTCCATTTATGTCCCATTGGCTGGAACTGGGTTTTCTGATGCCCTCTGGCTATAAGGGAGGCTAAAACATTGAGAATTGTGCCTTTCAGCTTCCTTCATAGGAAAAATCAAGGGAGAGGGGCATTGTGAATGGCTTTTGAGTAACTAGTCTGCAGAGTATGCCCCTCCATCTCTCTGTCCTCTCCAAGGTTCCAGCACTTCCCTGGGCCCTGCCCATGACTTTGGTAAGAACCTGGCCCCAGCATCTCCCCAGGCGTCCACCTTTGGATGAATTCAGAAAGTGGCTGTCAAGTTCCTTGCCAATTGATGGTATAAGGATATAGTGGATGTGGCCACTCCCCTCCCTGCCCTCCCTGCCACCTCCAAGGTTCTCAGCCTACTAGTGAAGAGAAAACCAGACCAAATGATCCTTGCTTTCCTTCTTAGAGCCAGTGATGCAAGACCTAGCCTGCTGATCCCGTTCAGACAGTTTTACAGGTTGCCTAGTGCCCTGAGAAAGTCCCAAAGCACTCATGCCAGATTTTAGGCCAGCCTTCCAAGTCTAGTTTATTCTGGAAGAATCTTCCCACCACGTCTTGCTACATTCTGGACCCTGTCCGTGTGAGGGTCCCAAGAGCTTCAACTCTCATGGCTTGGGGAATGGCGGGGATCTGCTGAGGTGGAGCTCTGCCAGGCTGCTCCCGAGACGACCACAATAAAAAGGGCTCCAATTGACGAACCTGACTCAGGCTCTTGGAAAGCGTTTAAAGCTGACACCTCCTCCTGTTTGCCCAGAACGGTTTGGTAGTATGCCAGCGCATTGCTCAGAGAGGAATGCCGATCTGGAAGTGTTCACCTTGATGAGAGACCGACAGCAACTCCTGGTGGTGAATCTTTCCCTCTGGCCTTTGCTCTGAAGGTGGATCCATCTGTCGGCCTGTTGTCAAGCACCTGACCTCAGGCAGAGCTGGCCTCTTCATTGCCACCCAGGGGAGTCTGTGCTTTATAAGCAAGGGTCATAGGCTCCAGCAGACAGGGGAATCGATGTTCTTCAGTTGCTCAGTTGTGTCTCTCTGTGGCCCCACGGACTGCAGCACGCCAGGCTTCCCTGTCCTTTATCTCCTAGAGCTTGCTCAGACTCATGTCCATTGAGTCAATGATGCCATCCAACCATCTCATCCTTCTCCTCCTGCCTTCAATCTTTCCCACCATCAGAGTCTTTTCTAATGAGTCGACTCTTTGCATCAGGTGGACAAAGTATTGGAGCTTCAGTTTTAGCATAAGTCTTTCCAATGAATATTCAGGGTTGATTTCCTTTAGGATTGACTGGTTTGATCTCCTGCTGTCCAAAGGACCCTCAAGAGTCTTCTCCAACACCACAGTTCAAAAGCATCAATTCTTCAGTGCTCATCCTTCTTTATGGTCCAACTCTACATCCATACATGACTACTGGGGGATTAGAACTGGAAGAAAACTTGAAGGTCAAGGCACCTCCCATTTTGCAGATGAGGAAACTGAGACCCTAAGAGAACAAAGGACTTGCCCAAAGCCGGTCTCCCAGCAGAACCATAGCCTCCAGCCCTGACTGCAGAGTTTGCCTTCTCCTGTTCTGCACTGCTGTAAGGATCAAACATCTGTGACCAGTCACCTGATTTTCAACGTTTCTTCCTTAAAAATACTGGTGACCATCCCTAGCAGTCCTTTTTGCTGCAGTGTTTAGAGGTGGGCTGTTCTGGCTTTCCTGGTAGAGGGCCTGGTTGTCTCATAAGTGGTTGCCTCTTGGACAGAGTATTCATGTTTTCCTGGGGAGATGTCAAGCGGGAGCACGGCTCTGGGCCCTGCTCTGTGGGGTTGCTTTTTTGCATGCGGCTGAGTCCCATTCCTGCACTTTTGCATCCCCAAAGAGCACAAGGTGAGGGGCGTGGCATGGCCCATCCCAGCCCCTAAGGTGGTTTCCACTCTTGGTGGTTTCCAGATGTGACAGCACCCTTAGTGGATGAGGGAGCCCCTGGTGAGCAGGCAGCCGCTCAGGCCCCCACGGAGATCCCAGAAGGAACCACAGGTGAGGGTGACTCCCAGGGCCCAACTGTAGGATGGGAGCATGTGGGGTTCTGCCCGTCTCCAAATGAGGTGGGGATGCGGGTGGATGCCAGCCTCCCGAAATCTCGGGTTGTTCTGAGCTTGATGCCCTATTGACTCCATGGCTGCCTGCCCGTCTCCTGGAGGATAGAGAACCTTCTGGATTCCTTCCAGCCTCTCCTCTCCTTGTCTTAGCTCCGCAGAGTTCTTGGAGGCAGGCTGGCGGCCGAGGTCAGTCCACGGTCCTGCTGGGACTCTGCCCAGCGACAGGGTCACTTCCTAGGGGGTAAACAGCTCCCTGAGGGGAGCACCTGAATGTGTCACAGCATCCAGATGGCCCACCCACGTCTTTGGAAGATTGTAACTGGATAACCCCCAGGAACTCAGTGATGCACTCTAGCATCCAATTTTAGTACCATCTTTTCAAACATATCAGCATAGAACAGACGTGACGAGACTGTCCTGTCAACATCGATGATGGGGAGCAGCCCAGACGGGGCACTGACCAGAAATAGCACTGAACTCAGGACCGCCAGAGTCACCGTGAGCTGCCCAGGCCCTTAGGAAACGGCGAGCAGAGCCCGGAGCTCTGGCTGTCACTTCCTTCACGTTCACCTCCCTGGGCTACACATGACTCCAGCCATTGGCTTGGCGATGCGGACGGTGCTCAGCAAGAAATGCAGGACGAGCTCTGGATGGTGTTTCAGCAGCAGTGGAGAGTGGGGAAATGTCCCCCAGCAGGAGTTCTTTTCCTTCCTGAAGGTGGGGCTCAGTGGCAGCCATTTGGGAAGTCTGCAGCCTTGTCCCCAGCCGTTTGGGTTAAGGATGCCGGGCAGGGGCCAAGCAGCGCCACCCGCTCCTCCAAGTAGCTTCCGCTCCGCAAGTTGCTCTCCAGAGATGAATGGAGGGGGATGTTCTGGATACTGACATGCCTTGTCCTTGACAGTGAAGGTCGTTTGAAGGCCATGGAACCAACAACTCATGGGATGAGATCACGGGTAGCTTGACTTTTGTCTCTCACTGTCCCTTTATAACTTTTCAGTGAGTGAAGCTCTTCTTCTGCCTGGGACAAAAACTCTAGGGAACTCTTGACTTTCCATCACTCCTGGGTTATCAAGTGTTTTAGTCTCCACTGACACACAACCCAGGCTGCAAATGCTGATGAGAATGTGCAGTCTGGGACGTCCCTGGTGATCAGTGACTAAGAAACCCCCCTGCCAATGCAGGAGATACAGTTCGACCCCTGCTCTGGGGAGATTCCCACGTGCCTCGGAGCAACTAAGCCCACACCCTGTGCTCTAGAGCCGCAACTGCTGAGCTCTGCAGCAGGAGGGGCCACCACAATGAGAAGCCCAAGCTCTACAATGAGAGAGCAGCCCCACGCCCCCCGCCACAACTAGAGAAAACCCGCATGCAGCAACGAAGACCCAGAGCAGCCAAAAAATAACCAATTAATTTTTAAAACAGGAGTGTCCAGTCAGGGTAACACTCAAAGCTGCAGGTCCTCCTCTCTGGGACTGGACAGGGGCAAGAACTGGGAGAGGGACGGGGAAGTTGTTCCTGCATTGGGGCTGCTGTGAGCTGGCTCCATGCAGTTTCTGCAGGTGTTGCAAGTTGAGTCTTTCCCTGTGGGTTTTTTTGAATTCTTTCAAATGCTTCTCTCCCACGCCATCCCCATTGTCCTCCTGAAGTTCCCTCCCTCTGCTCTCGATTCCAGCAGACGTTCCTCTTTCTTCAGTCCCTTGGGGGTCTGAAGATCCGTCTCATCTCTCCTCTGCCAGAGTTGGCTTGCTCACATCGGTGGCCCTGCTGGGCATGGCCTGAGGCGCCCCCTCCACTATGACTGCCCTGTGCCCACCACAGGTCCACGGGGGACATGGGTGTTCCTTGTCTGAACAAACCACGCATATGCAGACAGCCCACGGACTTTGCTTCGCCACAAACACAGGGCCAGCCTGCCTGTCCTCCTTGAGTTTTCCCAGGTGGAGTTCTGACAGCCATCCACCATGTCCCTAATCCTAGGGGACACACACCACCTGTTTCCACCTGGTGCCTTGAAACTCTTTCAGTGGGACTGAGATGGGAGGCAGACAGGTAGCCACCATCCCACCTGCCCTAAGCTGCTCTCTCTAAAGAAATCCTTCTTAAAAATTCTCTCCCCTCGGCCCTTTTACATCCTGAATGAAGTTCAGCGAGGTTTTAGAGTTCAGGGGACATTTTTTCTGCTGGTGGCTTTAACAATGTGTGCCTTAGTTTCCGGCTTCCCTGGTGGCTCAGATGGTAAAGAATCTGCCTGCAATGTGGGAGACCCAGGTTCAGTCCCTGGGTTGGGAAGATCCCCTGGAGAAGGCAATGGTTACCCACTGCAGTATTTTTGCCTGGAGAATTCCATGGACAGAAGAGCCTGGTGGGTTACAGTCTATGGGGTCGCAAATAGTCAGACACGACTGAGCGACTAACAGGCCTTAGTCGAGCACCTCACTTGGGCATGTGTCTTTGTTGTATCTTGGTTCTCCTGTGAAACTTCCCATTTGAGGTCCATTTGGGAGTGCAGTGTGGCCATCCCCCTGCTGGTGTCCCTGCCTTACAGGGTCAGCATGGAGCCCTCTTGGGGCCCCAGGGAGGCAGAGAAGCCATATAGGCTGGTGATGGCCCAACCACTGGCTCATACCCTCCCTCTCTCTGGCTTCTCTGAGCATCTCTCTTGCTGGGATCAAGGGGTGTCAGAGATACCAGCAGCCTGCAGTTTCTAATTCGCATCAGGACCAGGGATCGCGACGCCGCGTTGGTATGTGAAAGCGATGGGCTTCCCAGAGCCACGGCAGTGACGTCATTGGCACGCCCCCTTGTGTCCTGTCTTCAGGACTCCATTCCATGTGGCTGGATTTGCTGACTTGCTGTCTCCCTGGACCTTTCTTCTATAACCTTGTCAGAAACTCACACCAAATCTATGCTCAGAGCAGTGCTTTGCTGACAGACATCTTTTGTCAAGTGACATGGAGCTGTCACCATTAGACCTCACAGACTGTGTACAGCGTCAGCGTGTAGGACACCCGGAGGTGTTCCTGCCTTTAGGGAAGCTGCCCGAGCCCGCTGCCAGCCCCCTGCCCCTCGCCACAGCGGCCCTGGGCCAGCCAGTGGGCTGGGGTCTTATCAGGCCATCATACATCTGTCCAGCAACCCAGAGCGTCTTTCCTGTGCCTCCTCCATGTTCTCTGTGGTGGGCCTGCATGGCAAGTGGGGCTAATTTGGCATTTCTGATTTAGTTGTAGAGCCTGAGTCATCGCAGGTCTGGGAGGAAAACACTGGTGGCCCAACCAGGTGGGCATTTCAGGCTGGTGGCCTCCCTGTCCCTGTCCATCAGGGCATGTTGGCCCTCCTGGGGTGTGGGGTCACACCCATGTCAGTGTGTGGCCAACTTGCCCTAGAGGGTCTTTCTTCTGGACAGTCATACCCTTTGTCCTGCAGTGATATCCCCATTTCTTCATGATGCAGATATTGGCGTTGTATGAAAGCTTACCGACTTTGGTACCATTGATGGCGTGATCAGGAGTTTGTCTCAGTCTTTTTTTGTTTGGGAGAGACAGTGGGCTCCCTAAGTGGGAGCCCAAGATACCCCCAAAACTGCTCACTGACACTACCACCCCCCGCCCCCTTTAATCAGATGGCACCTATTCTTAGCAGGCAGTTGAAGGGGTTTGCCCAGTAGTTTGGAGGAAAGAAACTGAACCTCTAGGGGGCTCCTACCATGTACCAGACACTTTGATGAACGCATGCACACAGTTTCGTATGAACCCTCACTGCTCTCCTACAAGACAGGCTGGTGTTATCACTTTGGGGTGCTAGAGTTGGAAACTAAAGCTCAGAGAGGCTAAGTAATGGTGGCACCTGAGCTTGAACCCCAGCCAGACTCCGCAGCCCACACACCTAGTCCTTCCTGCACCTTTGGCTCCCCCAGGAGCGCTGGCGGGGCTGGGAGGGCGGCCTCCATCAGGACACAGCTCCACAGCAGTGGCTGAGCAGCAGAGAGCTTCTCCAGCCTCACCTGTCCTGTGTCTTTGTCGCGCGGGGGACTGAGGACCCAGGGCCCGCTGCGGGGAAGGTCTTTCCTACTGGACTTGTTGCCTGAAGGTGTGTGGGCGTGGGGTGGAGGGAGTGTTTCGTGGACTGTTTTCATCCACATCTCCAGCGGTCAGGTTTGCAGAAAGAGCCAGAGGTCCAGCGCTTCAGGAACCTGTTGGGAGGGACAGGGAGCTCTGTTTCTAGCAAACAATAACTGTGTCTGCTTTTTATCCTCTTCATTTGCTGACGCACAAACCAGCTGAAGAAGCAGGCATTGGTGACACCTCCAACCTGGAAGACCAAGCTGCAGGACACGCGACCCAAGGTCAGCGGACTAGTATTGCCTGCCACGCATGACGTGGGTGGTTGGGAAGAGGGGGTGGCAACACTTAAATGGACCGTACCCTGAGATGAGAATTTGGACCTGGGCCTTAATTCCAGGGTCCAGATCTTTAGGAGCTGTTTTTTCATCGAAGGTGGGATATTCAGGTAGAGAAAGAGCTTTAGCTCTTTCTAGTCATTTCTGAGTCCTTCCCAGTGTGTTTGTTGTTCCGAAAGAAGTTGGCCTTTGCCAACTTGGGGACTCGAGAATCAGTGACCAACAGAAACATATATGTGTCTGATGAGTCAGTCTCCCTGTAGGCGGCCCTCTGGCCCATCCCAGGAGCAAAGCCTCAACTCTATCGCCACGAAACTATTTCCTCTGTGCAGCCTTCAAGTTTTATTGTGATTTTCATCTCAGGGACCAAAATTACTGTGTTCAAGAAAAACAACTTCGTATTATCACTGAGCTTAAATGTTTTTAAGAACTTAAATTGTAAATCCTAGAGATTCCTTATCTTTGGAAATGGAGACCTCCAATACAACCCCGCTGAATTTTGTTTTCTGTCATTGGCTGCATAAATGAACTTGAGAGTCTGCTGTATAGTGTGGAAGCTTTTAGACTGTAAGAGAGCTGGGAAGTCACTGGTCTTTTCCCCACAAAGTGATTTGGGATTTGTTCGGTGTTTAGCGCTGCCACTGGGCCATCTGGCTTTAGGGAGACTCTGGGCCCTGAAGAAATGTCTCCCTGAGGGTGCTTTGAAGCCTAACTACACGTTTCTGTCTCCCAGGGCTCCCTGCCCCACAGTGCGCTGGTGTCTCTCGTCTCACACAGCATGGAAAGACGTGTTTTCATTCTTAGGTTTACAAAGAGCTTCAAAAAAATATTAGAAGCGATAATCGTTATAAATGGGGAATCTCAGTCTATGTGTTAAATAACTAGAATCTTGCCTCCTATTTCTTTTAGGTCATGATTTCTAGCTTTTAGGTAAAATGAGAGGTTTTTATAACCTCTGGAAATGACCATCTATTTCCATAACAATAAGTGAATTTGAATTTTTCTTACAAATTTTTATTGTAGGCTATGTCTCCATGTCCCTGAAAGATATTCCATGGAGCAAAAAGATCAGGCCAACAGCTTTCCTAGAAACCTTACTTTGGGGCTAACTAAATTTTTAACTTTCCCAGCACTGGCTTAGAATCATAGAGCTATATAGACCAACACCAGGTAGCATCTGCAATGGAACATTGGCACCAAATCTGTGAATATGTGGCGGTTTCTACCTCTGTGCTGCCCAGGCCAGTGTTTAATGTCTCATCTGGAGCTGCTGATCCAAATGGCCAAGCCCAGCTCCCTCCAGTGGGGCCTTGGGAAATCCAGACACTCTGGAGATCCACAAACATGTTTCATTGCCACAGACCTGCAGTCTGCTTTGTGCTAAAGCAATCAGATTTAGGAAGAACCATGGACACAGAAGCACAGCTGCTCTCTCTTCCTTATTTTCCGGCGGCAGAAGGAAAACCTCTGGCAGCCTGTGCTCATGAAGGACTAAGAGAGCAAAGATGTTTCAGGACGGAGCTGCGAGGGGCCGGGAGGAGCAGGGTGTGGGGAGGCCCTGCTCGCCAGAAGTGGACCTTTCTTCTGGGGCTGTCAGGAGGACCAGGCCTCCCAGGGGGCATGGGACACAATTCACCTGCACTCCTGAGACCACCCAACCCTGTTTCCCCAAATCTTGCTTACCTTGGACCCACCCCCTGTGCTTACTGCCTTTAGTATTGGCTTGAAAAATACTGCATATTTTTCACGATATCCATAAGATAGTATGAAAGAACCCAGATGAACTTTTTGGCCAACTCAGTAGCTATTGAGCACTTTTCAGACTTCTGGGAGCTGAATAGAATGTTCTCCCAGCCCAGCTCCTTCCTTCAGGAGAGTAATAGCATGATGGCAGGTTCCTCACACACACACACACACATATGCTGTACTATCCTATATTGATAGCTTTTCAGGGTATGTTTAATACACAGGTTTGGGGCCCTGGACTCTTTTTCAGTGAGGGTCTTTTAAAGTCTTGCAGTCTAACAGTAATATCCACATCACAAGCAATTTCTAGGGAGCTCTGGGAGGAAAGATTTTTCCAGAAAGTGCTGGAGACCTGGCCTGATGAGAGGTGTAGGGACCAGCAGCTGCTGCCACTTCCGGTCTGTTGAGCGGTGGGTTGGGAACACGATGGGGTGAGGAGGCAGTTGCTCAGGTTGCCTCCTGCCAGCTGGCTTCTTGCCTCTCCGTCATTTGTTCTGTTCATCCCCAAGACTCACCAAGGGCCCCAGAGAGTCTCCTGCAGACCCTGCGGAAGGCAGAAATCAGCTCGTTTCCCTGATGACATCATGTGTCAATCTGGCCACATGGCAGACTCTGGGGCTATGCTAGGAACACAAGATAACTGAGACCATGAGCTCGAGGCCCCGGCACAGGGGTGGGAGGTGAGAGAGCTGGCCTCTTGATAAGGGGCTGCCGGGCAGCTCCACAGACTCCAACTAGAGCTGGGACCAGAGGGACCATCATGTATTAGCCATGTGTGTGGACCCCTGTGTTCTCCCACCTCCCGCCCCTCCCCTCATCCAGCCTCTCTCTCTTCCAAGACCCTCAATCCTTTGGGGTTCCAGGATTTACTTAGAGGAGAGCTGCAAAGTTGTCCTGGAACTAGATAGGATGTTTGAAGAGTTGGGAGTTAGAAAAAAATACAGGCTATTAGGAGAACCAACAGAAAAAATATCTCCTGTCCTCAAGGAGGGACTCACGTGAATGTGGGGCTTCCCTGGGGGCTCAGATGGTTAAGAATCTGCCTGCAATGCAGGAGACCCAGGTTTGATCCCTGGGTCAGGAAGATCCCTTGGAGAAGGAAATGGCTACCCATTCCAGTATTCTTGTCTGGATAATTCCATGGACAGAGGAGCCTGGTAGGCTACAGTCCATGGGGTCACAAAAAGTCAGACACGATTGAGCGACTAACACTTCACGTGAATGCGGCATGAATGAAGCAGAAAAAAAGGAAAGTGTGCCCTCCATCCACTGGGCTGGCACGCAAGAGGTGCTGTGACAGGGGTGAAGGGCTGGCCCCGCAGGGCTGGCCACGTCTGTGCCGTGCAGACCACCTTAACTGCCACGGTGGTCACCTCACCTAGTGCGGAAGGCTGTTCACAATCCACAATCTGGACAAACCTGAGCCGTGTTTCTGTTTGTAGAGGTCTCCTGGCAGGTCAGTTAATAGACTGAGCCCTGATTATGATGCATTTGGGGTTTTCCAAATCTATCAGGGTGGGTTATAGGTACTTGCTGGTTTTACTGAGCCAAAAGGGGGGCCAGAGAGAGAAGGAGAGGAAAGGAGACCCTTCCTGCACCCCAGCCAGGTCCCAGCTTGAGGCCAGAGTCTTCAGGAGGCTCACAGTCCCTGGAGAGGAAGACAAGTTTCTGCAGCTGGTGGAGTTAGCCTAAGGCAGCCCTGGATATGGCAGGATGCTCGGAGCCCAACCAGACCCAACGCACGCCGAGGACTAAGACCAGCAGTAGAGGGGGTCTTGGTCTAAGCTCCCCTTTTACAGATAAGAAAACTGAGGCTCAAAGACAGGAGGAGCTCACCCACGGTCACCCAGCTCATTATTGGCAGATTGACCAAGAGCTGTTTCATTCTGAGCAAAGAAAAGCAAGATGGGTGAGCTCAGAGCATGGGCTCCTTATCCTTTGTTAGGTGGGCTTGAGATGCTGTTTAAACATCCTTTTTTTCTTTCAAACATACATCCCTCTCTTAAAAACACTTAACTTGCTCTTGCTAACCTTTTGCCGCTGCTGCCTCTTCAAACCCAGAGGACAAGAGAGTTCCAGGCCAGCAGAGGGAAGCGTCTGAGAGGCCTCTGGCCCATGGGCTTAGCTCTCAGGTCCAGCTTGCACACGGCCAAGAAGCTTCTGGGGTCTCCGAGCTGCCTCTGGGAGAGAAAGAGCCCGAAGCTCCCGTCCTGGCGACCTCTCACCCTTCCCAGCATCACCCCGTCTGCCAAGCGCCTCCTCCACCAGGAGGCCCTCAGGAGCCCCACTGGGAGTGGGGACCAAAACTAGGGCAGTGGGCTGAGGAGGGCCTGGCCTTTCCGAAGCCCCCCTCCCCTGGACATCAGCAGACAGGGCCTGGGGGTGCCGAGGTTGTCCAGGCAAGCTTACTCGGGGAGCCGGGCCACCATGGAGGTGAGGCTGTGGAGCCAGGGACCTCAGGTCTGACCCATCAGCACGCATCTGACATGCTCGGGGCCCCCACCCTGCTCGCAGGCCCCAGAGAGGCCTCACGCCAGCCTTCAGGGACAGAACCTGAGGTTGTAGAGGGCAGCCGCCGCAGCTCCGAGCCGCCAGAGTGCCAGCTTTGGGGAGGCCTGCCCCAGGAGGGGCCGCCTCTGAAGGGGGCACAGGGCAAAGAGAGGCAGAGGGGTGAGGAGGTGGATGAAGACCGGGACATTGATGAGTCCTTGCCCCAGGACTCCCCGCCCTCCAAGGTCTCCCCGCCCCGAGGCGGGCCAGCCCCGCAGGCAGTTTCCGGAGAAGCCCCTGGACCCCCAGGGTCCCCAGCAGGGGGTGCCATCCCGCTTCCTGTCGATTTCCTCTCTAAAGCATCTGCAGAGACCCGGGTCCCAGAGCCCGACGGGCCCAGCGAGGGGCCCCCGGGAGAAGGGCGCGGCGGGTCCCCCGAGTTCACATTCCACGTGGAAATCACAGCCAATCTGCAGAAGGAGCAGGGACCCCCCTCGGAGGTGGATTTGGAAGGGACTGCACTTCCCGGGGCCCCTGGAGAGGAGCAAGAGCCCCGGAGCCCTTCTGAGGGCGAGGACACAAAAAAGATTGATCTTCCAGAACCTTGTAGAAAGCGGCCTGCAGCTGTTCTGCCAGGGAAGCCCGTCAGCCGGGTGCCTCAACTCAAAGGTCTGTGTCTTGAGCTCCTTCGCCCCCGCCTGGCGACCTCGTGTGCCACCCAGGCTGCAGGCACTGCCACTCGGCTTCCGGCTCCTCCTCGGCCCCTGCCGCTTCTGAGGCCCCCGGGGACAGCCACCACCCAGCCACCTGGGCCTTTGCTCACCCTCCCGGCCACCTCCTGTCCCTCAGGCGCTGGTAGCTCGTGCTCCTCTTCGCGCTTGCCGGCCGTCGTGCATGTCGCCAACACCCCCGCCCAGTGCTTTCTGCCCCGTTCACTCCTCTGGCCCCTTGATTTATCTGCAAGGCTCTTCAGTCCAGTGGAGGCTGGTGGGCTGTCTCCACAAAGAGTATAGCAGCTGCTCCCCCTTCGGAGGGCTCATTACGTGTCTCAAATTGGTTGTCTAGGACCCTCCCGACAATTGGGCATACTTAGCCCCGATTTGCAGATGAGAAAACTGAGGCTCCAAGCGGTAAAGTATCTTGCTGAAAGTCATTGAGTAGTAGGTGATGGAGCCAGGTTTGGAACCCAAGTAGGTCTGCTTTGAAAAGCACTTCCATCTACCCCGCAAGTGCCTTCCGGGAGGTCCTGGGGTGTGCCCTCCTAGCCCAGAGACTCAGAGGACACATGTCTGTCCTCTGCGACTATGTCAGTAGACAGCACCTCACATGTAACAGACCACACACACACACACACACACACACACACACACAAGCATTTGGAGGTGACCCAGAGCCCATGCTGAGCCTTTCGCCCAACAACCACTCCACCCTATTCTGTCTGCCTTGTGGCAGAAAAGACAGAGCAGAAACAAAATCTCCTCGTGTGAAGGAACCCCTTCTTCCCTTGGCAGAGTTGAGGCAGACCCCCTGATGGGATCACAGGGAGGGATCTCAGCCCCGTCCCCATCTCGAGCCCTGGGAAGTGTGACCACAGCAGCCTTTCAGGAGCTGAAGAGATGGGTGGGGAGGTTCCCAAGGGTGGCGGTCTCTGTGTCCTGTTGGGGGGGAGGACAGTTTATACCCCAGAGGAGGCCTCATGGCCACATATCAGCCATATTCATATGTTTAGCTCCTGTAGCATTTTAGAATTATTTGTGGGGCCCAGAAATTGATGCTACTTAAACTGTTCATTGCAGACGTCTGTTAAATGTTGTCACGAAAACTTTGAAATGTCATAGATGAAGGAACCTGTATTTTAAAATATAAGACTGAAAAAGAATCCTACTTTAAAATATCCTAAACTCCAAACTAATATGGGACACGTAACTGTGACTTGACAGATGACAACAGTGTTTCCTGAAATGTTGTTTTATATTGAATGCTGATCCACTGCATGTTGATAGATGTGTCCAGGGAAAAAAAGAGTTCCATGGTCTAGTTAGTTTGGGGAAAAAAAAAAGGTGAAACAAAATTAAATGGGGTTTGCTGCTGGGGAACTTGTCAGAACCTTTAATATTCTAATGTACATTCTGACCCTCTGAGAAGGATACATAGTAACCATTTCCCCAATTTGGGAAATGCAGATCTAGCAGATGCTTTTGTTGTGACATAGATGATGATGGTCATTGGGGCAAAGGATGTGAATCAGGTCCACCCGGGGCTCTTATTAAAATGCATATTCCTGGGCCCCACCTTAGGCTGCTATCTCAGAGTGAACCTGGGATTTTGTATTTCAAGAATCTCTTCCACTGGTTCTGCTGCATAACAAAGTTTGAAAATCTCTGGGCTAGATCATCAGTGTTGGTCACTCTAGAAATCTGGTCTCCAGGAACCAGTGAGATGCTTCCACTGTCCTCGGGGCAGAGGAAATACTGAAGCCACAAATGAAAACCTATGATCAGTTTTCAATAATGAATGGCAATGGCAGGAAAGAGTGAGTTAGAAGTTACGCTGGTAGACAAGCAGATTGGTTTCACCAAGGGGTGTGGCTTTCCAAACACAAAATCTGTCAATGGTTTGGTCCTAAAATCCAGAGATTATCTATGGCAGGGGTCTCCAGCCTCTAGGCTACAGATCAATACCTCCTGTCAGATCAGTGGTGGCATTAGATTTAAAGTGCACAATAAATGTAATGTACTTGAATCATCCTAAAACCATCCCCTCCCCACCTCCAGTCCATGGAAAAATCATCTTCCAAGAAATAAAGAGTTTGGGGACTGCCGATCTATAGGATATTTGATGGCAGCTAGTTTGTTGCTAATTTGGGGAAAGGACAAGCATTAGTCCCCCTTGGGAGAGTCTGTAACTGGTGAGAAGGCCCTCCAGGGTTGGGTCAGGGGTGGGTTGGACTTGTCAGAGAGCCAGCTAGGACTGGTTACCCAAGCCCCCAAGAGTGAGGGGCAGATTCTGGGAAAGCGGCCCACTCCCCCTGGCCCTTGGGTGACAATGTGAGCAAGGGGTCCTGCAGGGGCCAGAGCCTGGCTGACCTGCCCTGTCCATGGCCCTGGGGCTTCCAAATGCCCCTCCTTGGAGTGGGGTTGGCCTCAGTCGGGGGAGGCCAACCCCAGCAGAGCCTGTGAGAGGTGGTCCTGCACCGTCTACCTTCCCTGACCGCCCCTGTACCAACGTGTGCCCATAACAGTCTCCTCTGCGTCGCCTCTGCATGTCCCCGCCCTCGGCCAGCCTGCTGCCCCTTCTTGTCAGGGTGTTACAAGCAACGACCCCAGTGTGCTGTGTTGATACTAACAAGACACCTAACAGATTCAAGGGGAAAGAAATCAGCCGGGTTTCCACTGGCCCAACTGAACAAGACATATTGCACAGTTTCTGAGAGACCACTTTCCCTCCATTGGGTTCTCATGAGCTGTGCTAATGGGTGTAACATGCATTCTCATTTTGTATTTTATCAGCTCGCATGGTCAGTAAAGGCAAAGATGGGACTGGACCTGATGACAAAAAAACCAAGGTAAGCTGAGAAAACCATGGCACCTCTCTGCCGCCATCAAGTTCATCAAGAAGCCATGCTTTGTATCTGAATTGATCTCTGTATATGACACGTGGAAATCGTTGGTCCGCGAGGTACAGCTGTCATTCAAAGTGCTTTGTGTTTTCATGCAAATGTTTAAAATGCCAGCATTTATCCTTGGATACTTCTGCCAGGGAAGGGCAGTCAGCAGGTTAATGAATGAATGAATGAATGCTCCTCATTATAATTGTACCAGCATTGTTTGAATTAAGACGTTCATGGTAAATGAAGGTATGTGTGAATTTTGAATTTTATGCTTCCCACTACAGGTCTAGGCACAGCAAAGATATATCTGTATACACACAGAGAGATATATTTAAGATCTATCTAGAAAATACCATTTACTTAGGGGGCTGAGGGAGTGTTGAGCAAAAAATGGGATATCCAACCTAAAGTGTAGGGTTCTGGAAAAGCCCTAGAGGAAAGGACCTGTGAGGCAGGCCGAGGAGGAGAGATGAAGGGGGGTTGGTGAATAGGGGTGAGAAGAGACATTCCAAGGAATAGGATCAGTGGAGGTAAAGAGGAGGTGGGGGGAGCGGAGGAGCCAAATCACGTGTTTGGGAGTTCTGAGCATATCAGCTCAGTTGCTGCCAAGCTCGGAGTAGGGCTGAGGCAGGCCGGAGGAGGGAAGCCTGATACACACCCTACATGCTGAGTGAACATGTGGGCTGTGGTGCCCTAGAGACTGTCCTGAAATCCTGCCAGCCAGTCTTAAGATCTTCCCCCACCAAGGACCAGAAAACCGAGCAGACTGCTCACCACCCAAACTGCACCCAGGACCGCACGGTCCTTCTCACGCTCCCTGTCTAGTGCACTCTCCTCCATGACGGGGCATCTTGGAGAAAGCTCCCATAACTGCACAGTAGTGTTTTTCCAGGAAACCTCACTGGGGCTCCAGATGAAGACCTGTTTTTCTTTTAGGCATCCAAGAAGCCCCCTATCTATGCTGCCTGAAACGCCTGGGTGTTCATCAGTCCTGGAGGACTGATGGAGTTCCCAGACGCAGAATCAAGCCCTAGGGTTTGGTCTTGTGTATTGAGGGTGGCTGCCCAAAGTGCATGCCCTGGAGGAAGTTGGGGTTCACCATCACAGGACCCCGGTGGGGCAGCTGAGGGTACTTACTGCAGGGACTTGGGGTGGGAGGGAGTTGCAATAACTGGTTGCCAGTCGGGATGCCCATTCAGGGGAATCCTGCCCTCTGTTCATTCATCCATTCATAAGCTGTCCCTGCCCTGGAGTGGCTCACAGCCTCGCAGCAAGAGGTCAGATCTGTCATGAACCTAGACCGCTTGGCCAGGTAGGGAGCAGTACCAGCGGAGGGGGACCTTGTGAAGCTGGGGAAGGAGGGCTTGCCGGTGCCCACCATCAGCTTTTCTTGCTAGCAGCCCCAGGGCCTCAGTCTGCATCGCCCCCCCCTCACACCCCTGCTCCATCCCTCTTGCACTCCTTCCCAAGGCTGGCTGCAGAGACAGCCTCAGTCACCTTAAGTGGCGAATCTCAGTAAAGAAAAAGTCTCTGGTCAGGACTCTTCTCTGTAGTTCTGACTCCCTCTTTGGAACACCTTTGGACTTGGCCTCTTGGTTTTATTCCTGAAGGCGTGGCCCTTCCCACTCCCAGACCAGCCTCCTCCACCAGGGCCATGCATCACAGTCCAAGGTCCCCAGAGGTGGCCCAGACAAACCACAGGTGCTGTCCACTCTCCTTCCACACTCTCATCTCCATGAGGTCATCCACCTCACAGACACCTTCCCATTGGCTGCCTGCAACACCCAAGTTACTTCATTGGGTAGATGGTACTCAAGAGTAACCACTGGCCTAGTTAAGATTTACCAGACATTGGGAGATTGGGATAGACATATATACACTATTGCTACTATGTATAAATTAACTAATAATGAGAACCCTACTGTATAGTTTCCCTGGTGGCTCAGATGATAAAGAATTTGCCTGCAATGCAGGGGGTCCAGTTTCAATCCCTGGGTCAAGAAGATCCCTTGGAGAAGGAAATGGCAACCCACTCCAGTATGCTTGCCTGGAGAATTCCATGGACACAGGAGCCTGGCAGGCTACAGTCCACAGGATCACAAAGAGTCGGACACGACTGACCAACTAACAATTTCACTGTGTGGCTCAGGGATCTCTGCTCAGTGCTCTGTGGTGGCCTAAATGGGAAGGAAATCCAAAAAAGAAGGGAGACATGTATACATATGCCTGACTCACTGTGCTGTGCAGTAGAAACTAACAATACTGCAAAGCAACTACACACCAAGAAAACTTAATTTTAAAAATATTGGGTGGGGGGGAGATTTACCAGACAGTTTAGTTTTGAGACTTTAATCAGAAAGTAAGTGTGTGTGTGTGTGTGTGTGTGTGTGTGTGTGTGTGTGTGTGTTCTAAGTGGTGTCAGACAGAATCTTCAAGACCTGCCTAATCAGATACAGTCCTGATGTTGGCAAGGAAGATTCTATCAGTGTAGTGGAAGAGGGAGAGGGGTTGGGGGGCCAGCATGAGCCCCCTACCTGGAATTGAGCAGAACCAGGAGCACTTCTGACCCATGATACACTGGAGATGTTTTCTTGAGAAACAGCCTAAGAATCATACTTCTGGCCATCTCCATTGACTCTCTGGGTGCGAACCACTTTTTAACCAGTGGTCTCCAAAGGGTGGAGCTGAAGTAGATCCAGTGGGCTGGAGAAAGAACATACAACACGTCTATCACTTTCTCCAGCTCTGCCATATGTAAGTTTTATAATGCACATCGTATGCTAATCGTAGTATATGCATTAGCTGATGAATGACTGCAAGTTCATGGTCACTTTTTGGTCTTCCTGATAAGGACTGTTAAGGGCAAATGATCCACAGGGTTTGGAGGTCGTGCCTTTAAACCATTACCTGCCTTATTTGTTTTTAGTTACTGTCCTTTTTCAGTTTGTACCTTTCTCCCATGTGCTGACTTTTATTTTGATTTTATTTATGTTTATGTTTAAGCCATCCACACCTTCTTCCGCTAAAACCCTGAAAAATAGGCCTTGCCTTAGCCCCAAACGCCCCACTCCTGGTAGCTCAGACCCTTTGATCAAACCCTCCAGCCCTGCCGTGTGCCCAGAGCCATCTTCCTCTCCTAAACACGTCTCTTCTGTCACACCCCGAACTGGCAGTTCTGGAGCAAAGGAGATGAAAGTCAAGGTAAGAGGAACCCACCTTTGGCAAGAATCAGGCTGCTCTGCTGTAGTTTTCAAAAGTATGCTTTTCTAGTCGCAAAGACCTTTCTTTAGATAAGCTCCCACCTAGAAGCACCATGTAGGACAGTTAAAATTCTCTGGTTAAAACAGGGGAAAGGAGGCACAGTACCATCCTTTTCAGCTCCCCTTCATCCCCCAAGGCACGGGAGGGGACCCTGGTTTGAAAATCACTGTGGGTTTCCTTGGTCTATTCCCGGCTTTAGTAACTCAGGGATGCTCCTGGGTTGCCCTCATTTGGGTTGGACAGCATCCCTTGCACCCACACCTGTCCCAGTAGCTCACTCCCTCCTGAACCATCTCTTGGTCACCGGTTCACGTCAGTTTCTTTTTTGAGTTCGTGTTAACATGTCAAGGTCACTCGCCCCAGTCAGCTGACCGTGCCTGTGCATCCGTGCTCCCCCTTTGGCCCATCTGCTAATTGATGCTGGTGTTCACCCGCCAAGGGCTCTTGGCACACCTGAAGCGTTACTGAACCCCGAGACCTGCTTGAGAGAGAATGGAAGGATAGGACTAGCTCTCTTAGCACTCTCAGTCAGGTTCAACAAACTGTGTCTCCATGTGCCTCTGAAACCAACCACCACCAGGCAGATAAACCCCCCTAAGAGAGTCAGAGAATGGTGTAGGAAGTCTTCAGACGTCCTGCCTGCCGACACTGGTGGATGCTGACCGCGATCGTTGCTATGAGCTCTGTTGCCTTTTTGTGAAATACATTGGCTCCACTTGTGCAGATAACTCATGTAAACAGTTCATCCAGGAGGAAATGGTACTCAGGAGTTTAGGAGGGGCTGTGGATTTGTGTATCTTTGTCATGGTAAAGGACACTTGTATTTGGCTGACAGAGCGTCACCCCAATGTTAGCCTCATTTTGAGTCAAGCTGGCAGAGGGGAGCTGGCATTGATGCCGGGTGGCAGAAACCTTTCCCAGTTGTAAAAAAAAAACACTGTAAAAAAAACACTCTACTGTGCATTGGTTTACAGGGGGCAGATGGTAAGCCTGGAACGAAGATCGCCACACCCCGGGGAGCGGCCCCTCCGGGCCAGAAAGGCCAGGCCAACGCCACCCGGATTCCAGCAAAAACCACTCCTACCCCGAAGACCTCGCCAGGCACTGGTGAGAAGGGCTTTCTCTGGAATCCCAGTGGAGGGGTGGGGATGGGGAGAGCTCGCCATGGAGGCCCTGGCGGTTAACCTCTGGTAGCCAACTGACGCCTGTGGTTCAGTAAGCATCAAATGGTCATTTCTAATTCTTTTAATTTTCTGAGCTAGATATTGAGTCCCCACTTTATACCATGAAGAAATCAAGGCTCTGAGAGTTTGCATGACTAAGTCTAACCAGCCTTTTAAGCATGAGGAAAATACAGCCATGAGACTAATAACGATGGAGAAGGGGCTTCTCTGAGCTTCTCAAACCCCACAACGCACCCCCGCCCCAGGGAGGTGTTTTTCAGCCCCCAATGAGGGGTGGGACACTATGGGTGACCTCACACAGGGGGCAGCCCCTGCTAACTTGCTGGGATGTTAGGGGCCTTCTGACAAAAACTAAGGGTCTTAGCTGAGCACTCACAGGCTGGGCCCATCTCCTTGACTCCTGTGAGTTAAACCCACTGGGTTCTGAGTACCAGCCAAGGCTTCAGTTGAGCCATTCTGCTGCCAGTGGGGACAGCCAGGCTGAGTCCACCCTTCCCACTGCCCTGATGACTGTCCCAGGCACCTGGGTTTAGACTGTACATGACTCGGGGTGTCTGGTCCAGGGCAGCGCTCAGGGGGCCTGTGGATCTCACACAGGCTGTGTGTGAGGCCTGGGCCGGCAGCACAGGGTCTCTGCTGCTCCTTGGCCCCAGGGGTGGCTGCCCAGAGTCCTGGCATCCTGCGTGTCTTGGCTGTGGTGTTCAGGGAGGTTGCCATAGGGCGGGGCCTTCCTGGATACCCGCTCACTAAGGCCTGTTGGTTGACTTTCTCCCATAAGGTTTATTTTTTTTTTTAATTATTATTCATTTATATTTTTGCTGCCCTGGGTCTTCATTGCTGCGCTCGGACTTTCTCTACTTGCAGCAAGTGGGGGCTACTCTCTAGTTGTGGTGTATGGGCTTCTCCTTGCAGTGGCTTCTCTTGTTGCAGACCATGGGCTTATTTGCTCAGCAGCATGTGGGATCTTTCTGGACCAGGGGTCAAACCCGTGTCCCCTGCATTGGCCAGGAGGATTCTTCACCACTGGACCTCCAGGGAAGCCCAGGTTTTTCCTTATGTATAGAGTACATATGATACAAGGGGAATTCACAGACTCCTGACTGGATTTCATATATGATTTTGATCCTGCTTTTCTTCACTTGACATTATGCTAGTTGATTCATGCAACTGAAGTCATAACTGGAAGCAAGAACCTGTGTTTCTCTCTGGATCTTAACTGCTCTGGAGTGGACAGACCTCCCCCAGGTCGACCTTGTTTCCTGCTAGCCAGTGCCCCTGCTCCCTAACCCCATTCACCGCCCCCCGCCCCCACCTGCTGCACAAAAAACAAAAACTCTCATTGAGGCCTTTTCAAGCTTGATGATAATGAGGCTTTCTGTGGATTTTTCTTTTTAAGCGAACATGCAAGTGCAGAAAAAACCACCCCCTGCAGGGGCAAAATCTGAGAGAGGTAATTCTGAGCCTGCCTCGCCCAGCTGGGGTCATGCCTTTTGCACGTGCAGCTTGTTGGTTGGCTGGGGGTTTGGCGGGGGAGGGGATTAGAGCCGGGAGGACCTGCTTTTGAAATGGAGGCTTCCCACAGTGGGCCTGAAGTTGGAACAGATTCCTGCTCCTCTTCTCGCGTGGTTTGTGGGGATGTATCTGTCCAATGGGCAATCCTAATGCTAATCCTGCGTGTTCTTGGCATCAGCTGGGGGCTCTGGGTGGGGCAAGGGGAGTAGGTGCCTCAAGCTGATGCGGGTGCTAGAGTCAGGAGCGGGACCGGCCCTAACCAGGTTATGGGGAGGCCGCACTGGCAAGCCCTGTTCTGTGGGCTCCGGCCGCTGGCCCTGTTCTCCAGATGAGCACCCAGGCTTAGGGAGGGAGGTCGAGGGTCTTGCCTGAGGTCGCCCTGTAGTTCAGTGGCGCAGAAAGGGTGGGAAGCCACCACCAGGTCTACCAGGCAGCCTGTGTGCCAGGGGGCAGAGGGCGGGGGGCCGCTGAGCCTGGAGGCTTTACTCGTCCTGTTGCTGCAGAGCTTGACTCCTTGAGGAATTTCCAAGAGACATGGAGATTCAACCAAGAACCTCGTGCTCATCCTCTCTTTGACAAGAGAAGACACTGCTTCCCGCAGAGAGCTGCCCTTTCTCCTGCTTGGGGCCCAGCAGGTCCCCGTTTGGTACACATGCTTCCTGGGTGGTGGGGGGCATCGGCCGCCCTCAGAAATGGAGGGGAGCGAGGCCGTCACTTGGGCACAGCGTCCAGCCCAGTGGCTCTCAGACTCAAGAATCCTGCTCAAGAATCGTGAGTCTGCTTTAGAATCCCTAGGAGCAAGGGAAGCACCAGTTTTGCAGGCCCTGCCCCTAGAGATTCTATCCTATCCGGCCTAGATGGGGCCCCGGAATCTGTATCTTACAGGTCCCACCCCCACCCCCACCGCTACCGTGGCGGCTCTGGAGATCCCGACGCAGGAGTGCCAGGGTCACATTTGGTGAAACACGGATCCAAGAGGCACATAGAATAGCCAACCGGGAAGTGTGATGGGGGGGTTGAAGAGTGCAGGAAGAGACACGTGTTAGGAGCCCAGGGCTGGTCAGCTGGGAGAGGGGCGGCGCCCGCAGCCTTCCAGGAGGGTGCGGCCTCTGCCCCGAGTCCGGAAAGGCTCACTGCTATTTGCTGGGCAGCGCGCCTTTTCGCGGAGGGCGTTCTTGGGGGAGGGCAGGGCGGCTGTGAAGCGGCATAGTTTGTTTGGAAAGCCAGGGACTGGTGGACACGATGCAGGCATACCATTCTGGAACCCAGGTACCAGAGAGGAGTCGGGAGGTTGGATAGGGGTCTAGCGGGGAAGGGGCCTTGAACTTGATGAACAGCTCAAAATTCACCCTGTGGTTAGAGTCCAGTGGAACCATGTGTAAAATAGATAGCTAGTGGGAAGCTGCTGTAGCCCAGGGAGTCAGCTCAGTGCTTTGAGATGACCTGGACCAGAGGGATGTGGGGAGGGCATATGCGTATTTTGTGTTTTCCTACGCTTATAGCTAATTCACGCTGCCCTACAGCAGAAACCAACACAACATTGTAAAGAAGTTACCCTCCGACTAAAAATAAATTTAAAAAATAAGGAGTCCAGTGGATCCTGATGAGATCCTGGCCCACCATCGCATTGCCCTTATTCAGGGCAAAGGCCACGTATCCCTGCCCAGCCTCAGTCAGTCGGCATTATATTTGTTTCCCCTGAGCTCAGAGAAGGAAAGTGACTTGTTTGAGATCACTCAGCTGGCTGGAGCCGCTCCAGACCCCAAGGCTACTGGGCAGAGTTGCTCCCTTCTGGGAAGCAGTCCTGAGTGGTCCTTGGCGACCACTCTGTTGCTTCGCTGGGAAGCAGGATATTTTTGTCCCAAAGCAATGAGGCTGGGAAGAGGGGACATTTCTCTAGAAATGGAGGCCAGGGCAGCCTCCCCCGGATTGACTGAACTTCCGACCTTGTTCCTACCGACCTGGTCCAGCCCTCACTCTGGGAATGGGCCGCAGGACAGAGACCCGTTTTCTGACTCCCGCCACCCCGGGCCCTGGCCTCACGCCCGCCTTCCTTTCCAGGTGAATCTGGGAAATCCGGGGACCGCAGCGGCTACAGCAGTCCCGGCTCCCCAGGCACTCCAGGCAGCCGCTCTCGCACCCCTTCTCTGCCTACCCCGCCCACCCGGGAGCCCAAGAAGGTGGCGGTGGTCCGCACTCCCCCCAAGTCGCCGTCTGCAGCCAAGAGCCGCCTGCAGGCCGCCCCGGGGCCCATGCCAGACCTGAAGAACGTCAAGTCCAAAATTGGCTCCACGGAAAACCTGAAGCACCAGCCAGGAGGCGGCAAGGTAAGGGCGTGTGCGCGTCTGGCCTTGCGGGTGTCCGCTCGGGCGCCCGGATCGGGCGTGGCGGGGCCGGGCGGGGTCAGGGGGATTGTACACCTGGGGCGGAGGCGGGGGAGCCCCTCTGCTCCCACCACCAGCCTGGGTCCCAACCCCCGCCCCATAGCACAGGCCCCTTCCCGACCTCTTGAAGGAAAGACGGTGGGTTAGGGTTCAGTTCTGTGCCGGCGTCACCAGCAGGCTGTGAGTGCCAGCTCAGGGGAGAGACAGCACCGGTTCTTCCCTCGGTCACCTCAGCCCCTGCTGATGGGATCGATCAGAGGTGACAGCGTGGTAGCCCCACGACCTGGGAGTTCTCAAAGTGGGTGCCTGCAGGGGGTTCCCCAGCTTCCTGTGGTTGAGACCATGAGACAACCAGTGTACAGGTGGGTGTCTCTGGCATTGGTTGAACATGTGTTTAGGTGTCAATTCTGGGGAAATTCGTGTTACTATTTTGAACAACTGATTCTTCCAGGGACAAGTGGGTGCTCACGTCGTCTCTGGGTCTCCCAAAGGTGGAGAAAATGAGCTTCCAAGAGCCTAGGTGGAGGGATGTGGGCACAGCCTGCACCCCTCCTCCTCTCTTTGACCCCCTCCCCCATTGTGTGAGTTTCCTAGGGTTGACATACAAAATGCCACCAACTGGGGACTTGCCTGGTGGTCCAGTGGTTAAGACTCCACATTTCTGCTGCAGAGGGCACGGGTTTGATCCCTGGTTGGGGAACTTAGGGTGCCACCAAAAAAAAAAAAACTAACACGGACTGGGCGGCTTATACAACAGAGATGTAATTCCTCATAGAGCCCAGAAGTCCGAGGTCAAGGTGCTAGTTTCCTGAGGCCTGCCTTGTGTGCCTGCAGGTACTGCTTTCCCCTCGTGTCCTCACTGGTCCCTCTCTGGGTCTCACTATGTCCCAGTCCTGCCTCCTATAAAGACACCAGACCTATTGGCTTAGGGCCCACCCCAGTGAGCTCAGTTTAACTTAATGACCTCTTTAGAGACCCTATTCCAAACACAGTCCTGTTGGGAGGTACTGGGAGTTAGGACTGCAGCCTGTGGATTTGGGGAACACAATTCAGACCATGACAGCGTCCCCTGCCCCCCAGCACCAGGGAGGGAGACGGAGCAGAGGACAAGGACAGCCCCCCACCTCTTGTGTTGAGCCTTCTGGGCTGGACTGTTTCAGGAGCAGAGCGCCACCTGGTGGGCAAGGGCCAATGTGCAGAGCCCCCCCAGCCCAGCCTCTGCGCTCGGTTTTATTAAAATCGCTCTTGACTGGGGCCTGGGTCACCATGGAGGGAGGGGTCTCAGAGGCCTTCGGTCCATGTCAGTGGCCTTTGCCTGAAACCCTGCCCTTTGCTCCCCATGGAGCTTTAGGGCCTCCTGCTGGCCTTTCCCATCCTTGGGGCCCAAAGGGTCCTGCCCAGCAGGGAGGTCTGGGTGCCCCTTGGGGTCTTTGGGCCACAGGGCTGGGCCTGAGCAGTGTTGACCTCCCAGCAGTGTTTGCTGTGCTACTTAAAGACACATTGCCTGTCTCCTTATGGAGGGGGCTCTGGCACAACTGGCTTGAAGCTGACCCCTGGTGAGGCTTCTGGGCCAGAGGGACCCCCAAGGAGAGGGTTTCCAAGGTGATGGGATGTTTCCCACTGGCGTTCGCACCCCTCCCCCAGCGCTGTGGCTGTCCCATGTCTGCCCTGTTTTCATGGCACAGAGTGTTCGCCTCAGTTTTGAAAACTGAAAAACAAAACCCGACATGGCCAGTTCTGCACCCCCAAGAAGACTGTGGGGCTGTGAGCAGCATGCTCACGGCGAGAGGGAAACTGTGACAGGCCGTGTCTCCCAGCCCGCGGGGCTCCGCACACACCGGCTCCCCCCAGCCCAGGCTGCATCCCGTCAGCCCCACGTTCACCTGAGGTCGGCTTGGAGGGTTCAGGCACCATTTGGCCCCGTTCTCGAAATCCTGCTGAGAGCAGCAGTGACAGGGCTGAGCAGGGAGGAACCCACCCCTCTCACCTGAGCTGCCCAGGCCCAACCGGTTGGGTCAGTGACTCGATGCTTAGGATGGAAAGGGTGAGACTGCCCCCAGGCTGTGGCTGTACCAAGTGGGCGCAGATGCTTGTCCACAGCTACAAACTCCACGGTTAAAGGAGAAAGGTGACTTTTCTTGGGATTTACTGGGGAAGGAGATGTGGGGAAGTGGCCGAGAGGGGAGTAACAGCGTCCTCGTAAATTCCATGCAAAACTTAGAAAACTGTGAAACAAAGACAATCTGAGCCATAACACCAGAGATCAACACATTAACCTCCAGGAAAAACAAAAAATAGATAAAAATTTTTTTTTTCATGGTTGGACTTTTTTTTTTCACTTATTTTTATTAGTTGGAGGCTAATTATTTTACAACATTGCAGTGGTTTTTGTCATTAGATAAATTTTTTAAAAAAATAAAACAAAAGGGAAAAAAGGTCCCTGGGATCCATGCAGAAGGCCTCTTGAAGTGACTCCAGTGGGGACTTGGCTGATGGTCCAGTGGTTAAGAATCCACCTTCCAAGGGCTTCCCTGGTGGCTCAGATGGTAAAGCGTCTGCCTGCAGTGTGGGAGACCCAGGTTCCATCCCTGGGTCGGGAACCTCCCCTGGAGAAGGAAATGGCAACCCACTCCAGTATCCTTGCCTGGAAAACTCCATGGACGGAGGAGCCTGGCAGGCTATATAGACTATGGACTTGGAAAGAGTTGGACACGACTGAGCAACTTCACTTTCCAATGCAGGGGATCCCTGGTCGGGGGACTTAGATCCCACATGTTGCGGGGCAGCTAAGCCTGCGTGCCTCGACTACTGAGCCAGTGCACCCGAGAGCCCATGCCCTGTAACACAGGAAACCGGAGAGGCCTGTGTGCCACAGCAAAGACTGAGGCCAAAATTAAAAAGAAAAAAATGACTGGAGTTCCCTGTGAGATCTCTGGGTCCCCGTGGCCTCTCATTCGGCCCAGCATATACAGTAAAAGGGACAACACTTCAAGAGTCTGCAGAATAACCCAACTTCCTCGGGAGGAGCAGGACAAGGTTATAAACCTGCAGAGACTGAAAACTGCACATCAGTCTAACTTTTTTGGAAAAAAGTTGTAAAACGTCTGTTTTCTGCTTCATACTCTTCTCTGACTTCATGATTGGCTACAGTGAACATGAAGAGTCCAAAACAAAATTACTTTTAAAGGAAAATACAAATAATCTCACTTGGCCACTTTAACCTAACCAGCTGGATCCACCAGAAGTGGGAGGGGCAGGAAGGAGCAGCAGACCCCCTGTGACTGCGAAGGAGAATCACCTGGGGTTGGGAGGGGGAAGGGTTCTTTTAAAAACCCTAATGCCTGCACTTCCCAGGTGGTGCAGTGGATAAGAGTCTACCTGCCAATGCAGGGGACATGGGTTCTGATCTCTGGTTTGGGAAGATCCCACATGCTAGGGAGCAACTGAGCCTGGGTGCCCGGAGCCTGAGGACCACAAGGAAGAGGAGCCCCCACTCACTGCAACTAGAGAAAGCTCATGCAAGCAACAAAGACCCAGTGCAACCTAAAATAAAATTAGCTGATTTTAAAAGAAAATAGAACTTGTTTTTTAAAAATCCTAATGCCAGAGCCTTACCCTGAACCTTGAGAGTCTTCAGCAGTCCAGGCTGAAAGCCCGTGTCCCTGCATTCTTATCTACTGACCTCTGGTCTCAACCCTGACTGCTAGAGCCTCCCATGAGCCCTGGATCTGGGACTGGTTTTTTTTTTCCTCTTCTGGTCCTGCCCCTGCCGCTATTTTCAGATTCCAGACGACTCAGACCCAGCCCAGATCAGGTCCTAGGTCCTGCACCCCCCTCCCCAAGACTTTGTCCCAGTTCTGTTCTTAGGGGGATCCTGGAGAGGGGAGTTCAGACTCAAAGAACCAGCATTTAAAGCACCTAAAAAAACAAAAACAAAAAGGACCCACTGCAGGTGTAAGCGATAGGAAATTAACATCCTTCTGTCCTGATGAGTGTGTGAATCCTTGCAGTCCTTTTGAATATAATACAGGATTATTCCTAGTTTTCATAGTTTTTTTTTTCCATTTATTTTTTTCATAGTTTTCATAGTTTAATTCTGCTAAATCAATGAGCTGTTGAAGGATTTCATGTCTCCTTCCTCTGGACTAGATTGAAGGTCACCTTGAGATCTTTGTGTCCCTCTAGCTTCACACTTGATGTACAGTAAATGCTGTATATTCAATCAAGGAAAGAAAGAAGGCTTTAAATTCAGAAAAAGCTTCATGCACAAGAATGCAGATTGTGCTTTATTAATGATTGCAAAACAAAACAACTCAAGTCTAAATTAGAAAAATAGTGATGCCATACTATAAAATATTTGCAGTCATTAATAATTATCTTTGAAAATAATTTTTACAATTATAAAACTACAAATAAGTTAAAAATAAAATTGTATAAATTTTATAGGTTATATCTGCCACCTGTATAAAAGCCATGTATAGAAGACAAAAATGACAAAATGCTAATAGTGGCTCAGAGAAATTGTGACTGATTATTTTTCTCTATTTTTACCTTTCTTCCTAAATTTTTTACAGTGAAACCATTTCTAATTAGGGGGAAAAAAAATGGAGGGACTTCCCTGGTTAAGTGTTTCCACTGTTCTGGGAACTAAGATCTCAAATGCACTGCATGCAGTGTAATCAAAAAGAATTTAAAAAAAAAAGAAAAAACTGGATAGAAATACAGTTGTGACTGGAAGTGTCACAGTAGATATTAGTAAACTATCTACTTTTTTATTAGTAAAATAAAAACAATAAAAGAACATAGTTCATGTAAGGAAAAGGAAAAATTAACAAATACAAGGAATCAAACTGTAGGGGAAAGGGTTTATCTGTTGTTAAGAGTTCAGATGTGTCAATAATCTATTTCGTTCATAAAGAAAAGTATCTGTGACGTCCTTGGCG